TGGGAAGAAGTTGAATCATTCCTAGTTTTAGTTCCATACATGGCATATTGGGCGGAAACATTATGCATGATTGTGTGGATGTATGTGTGGGGCGCAAATAATCATGCAAAGTCCTATAAGGCGCATCGCCGTGTTCACTATCAGACATAGTGTTATGTGTTGAGGTGTTCGTGGCAATTGATGCAGTAGCAAAATAAGGGTTATATTGAGATTCAAACACTGGATAAGGTGTTCCAGTAGAACTCCCTTGATTGCCTCGATCCCTGCTCATCAAACACAAAAAAAACAAAAAAACAAAAACAAAGAAAATGTGAAAACAAAATAAAAATAACACTAAAAAAATAAAATTAAATCAAATAAAAATAAAGGAAAAGGAACGATGTCACCCTTTTTCGGTCCATCCATTGATTAATTGTACCGTCTCCCCGACAACGGCGCCAAAATTTGATTACGCCTAAAGTATAACACGATGATTGTAGTACAGCTTTGGGGTGTCGTATCCACAGGGAGATAGAAATTTTCTCAAAAAATCAAACAAACTAGGGTTTTTGTAATTTTATGTGGGAATGATTTGTCACTTGGAATAAAAATTAATTATCAATATGCGACATAGGTGAAGCGTCGGAATTCCCCCATTGGATTGGATCAATCGACATCAATAATTCATGTATTTTTCCTCAATTAGAGATTTTCTTCCTAACTCTCTAATTGGAAGATTTAACAATAAAGTCCAATTTAATTCCAATTATATTGCTAGAATCTAGATTTTCTATTACACATTCGCACATTTTTTTATTGGAACAAGATCAAAGATCGACCATATACATCAAGCATAAGACAGTAATCAATTCGCCAATAAAGTGATATTAAGATTAAAATTCAACAATTATTTCAATCACTTGATAGAAGGAACATGGCTAGATCTATGAAGGATTTGATTAAAATTCGCCAATAAAGTGATATTAAGATTAAAATTCAACAATTATTTCAATCATTCGATAGAAGGAACATGGCTAGATCTATGAAGGATTTGATAAAAGTTAAAATAATCTCAACAATAAATAATTCAAATTGTAATTCAACAAGTATTTCGAATAATCGATAGAGAAAGCATGTCTGAATCAATGGAAATTATAATAATTGTTAAACTAATATCAAAAACATATTCAAGATATGGAAATTCGATTCTAAAATTGTTTTAATAATGAAAAACTCAATTACATGAATTAAAAATGTCGAAATCACCAAAACCGATTGAGATCCTTCGTTGCTTCACCAAGTTCCTTAGTTTTCCATGGAGCTTCTTGAGCACCAAGATGAAAGAAATAGGTTTGAGGGCGTCTGCCTTCGTTCTGGGCATTTATATCCCGTGAAAATTAGGTTACCAAAAAAGATTCAATCGTATAAGGAAAGTGAGATTCGGCCGCCCAAAAACACTATGCGACCACATGGTTATTGTCATTGCGGTCGCATGGTTATGCACTTTCAGCCTCTTCAATTCTCGGTATAGGTGTGTGTGACCGCATAGTAGAAAAGCATGCGACCGCATGGTTCCGCCAGACAGTTTTTAGTGTTTTAATCATAACTTTATTTTCCGATGTCCAATTGAGGTGATTCAAGTTGCATTGGATAGCTAACTCAAAGGGTCACAATTTTTATTCAGAGGTCATCTCTCAATTCGATCATCTTCCATGTCAAAAATGGGTCCCAAAATGAGACTAAAAACTGGTGTGTTAGTTTTCGATTGGAAATTGATGTATTGATCAAACTTTGACGTTATTTCATCCCTTTGACTTCTTTCCTCATCCACTTGACCTCTAACACTTCCGAATCTTCATCATAATCTTAGACACAAGTTTGGATCATTTGCACTTTAGTCCCCGAACTTTCGTTCTCTTCTACTTTGGTCATTTTTCACTTGTTTCTTTCGAATTTCATCTTTTTCACCAAAATGCAACCTAAACCAAAATATAAGAGTAATGAGTGCATTTTGGCATAATATAATCACATGAATGCAATAGTTAAGAGGGGAAAATATGGTATTTTACACTCTTAGCAATGCATGCTCTTTATCTTCATTGAAACTAATGATTATATTCACATATACATAGCAATGATCAGTTGGTGCACCAAAATTTGAAATAATTCAAATTCAAAAGTACAAAGAGTCACGTGGTGAGATAGAATGCATTGGCCTTATTTAGTGGAGATTAAAGTTATATTTTTAGTAAATTTTGATGAAAGTTGACAAAATGTGTGGTTGAAAATTGTGGATCCCATGAACTATATGGTTAAGATTAATTGTTGACTTTGACTTCAATTAAAATCCGATTTTTAATCCTTACCAAACATGGGATGAGTCTTTGTTTATTTTATCTAAAAAATAAATTTTTTAACATATTTGACAAGAATTAATGAAATGAGTGATTGAAAAGTTAATAAAAATTTTGAATACTATGAAATGTCTGATTAAAATTGAATTTAGAAAAAAAATAAAAAAAAATATTATAATTATTGACATTGCGAGTGGGATACTTCTTGGGTGATCATAGGGGCAATAAGGGAATGTACTTCTAATGATCATAAGAGGATGGTCCATTCTATTGATCGATATTATATTGGCCATTGGATTGATGATTATTGATATTTAAATTGTGCAAAACTCTATTCGATGAATAGGAAGTGGGTCAAGGGCCCAATGAAAGGAAAATATTTCAAATGAAATTATTTCGAGTTAACTTTGATAAATATTTGAATAAGATTCATTTTAGCATGGTGTTTTAAAGAAATGACATGGCATCATATACTCATATTATTTACACTCAAAATATGCATGATTTTTACTTATTGGGCATTAGCTTAAGTAGTTCCTACATTGTAGGTGAGCATGAAATTTCATAGAAGACATGACTAGCTATGAACCTCTTATGGGATTCCGAAGTTTGATGTACATGGATGACAATTTGTAGGATTGTTTTGTGGCCAGTTTGTTTTGATCTTATAATCTATTATATTATATATTGAGAATCATGTATTGTCTATATATGATTTTTGAAATGGTATGGTGGATACTTTTGTAATTCTCAAAGTAAATATGTTGAGATTTGGTTATGTAGTATTTGGTCATAACATACTATATGTACATCATAGGTGGTTAGGTGAGAATATACAGGGACATTATTGTGAAGATGTTTATTTCAATTTTTCATGTAAAAAATAAAATGTAGAATCATATGTCTAGGTCGGTTCATGAAATTTTATTCCAACATAGGTTAATGTATTTTGTCTATATGAATGGGGTTTGACAATTGGGGCACCATTATTCCAAATAATTAAAATCAGGCTTGGGCGCGGTTTGATTTGGGTTGGTTTCAACTCCAACTCGAAACTAAAACCAAATTAGTCGATTTTGGTGAATTTCAATTCAAACCAACCCACTTTAACTCTTAAAATTGAACCGAACCGAACCAAATCAGTTTTGTTTGATTATTAGTCGATTTGGACTTTTAGTCCAAATTGAATTTAGAAAAAAATTGTCCAAGTTTGGGTCCAATTAGATAACAAGAACTAAAATAACTAAATAACTTTATATTACGAGAATTATTGACTAATAAATAAAATCAGGTTACTAGAGACAAATTAATAGAAAACTTAGGGATTTTGTTGCCTTTTTGTAGATTATGTAACCTGACTGCCTGAGTAAGGAAAAAAAAACTAAATATAACATAATGAGTTTGTGAAAGAAAGTTTTTAGTACTATTTACTTACCGACAATATAATAGTTTGGAGGAAATCGTGATGGTTATGAGATTAGGGTTTATCTTTATATTTTTTTTTCTTAAAGAAAAGGTAAACATACAAGTAGATTGAGTTGGTTCGGTTAACCAGCGATTTGAGGCTTCAAACCATGATCGAACCAAATAACCATGGTTTTATTTAAAAGAAAATCAAACCAAACCAATTACATGTGTCAAAATGACCCAAACCGACCCAAGTTGGTTCGGTTTGATTGGTTTGGTTGGTTTTTTGAATTTTTTGCCCAGGCCTAATTATGAAATTCAAAAATAGGATTCATCCCTTATTTGGTGGAGTCTAAAATCATATTCTTAGTAAATTTTAATAAAAGTTGATGAAATGTGTGGTTGGATGTTGTGGATCCCTTGAAATATATGATTAAAATTAATTGTTGATTTTGGCTTAAATTAAAATCTGAATTTTAATCCCTACCAAACATGAGATACGTCTTTGTTTATTTTAGCTAAAAATCAAAATTTAACAGATTTGATAAGAATTAATGAAATGCGTGATTAAAAAGTTAATTTAAATTCTGAATACTATAAAATGTGTGATTAAAAACGAATTTTGAAAAAAAACATAAATTTCAAAAAATGGGATCAACATGACTAAGTAATTATGTAATTGAAATGCTCATGATGTACAAATTGCAAAATCGTTTAATTTAGAGTCAACAAATTCAAAATCAAACCCTTGATAGTTGATATTGTTTCATTTTTCAATTAAAAACAAATAATTTATAAAAAATAAAAAAGTGCCAATGTACGTTAGAACGTACTAGGAATTTCCCGCGTTCCATTAAGAAAAATTAAAATATTAGTTGGTACTTCCCAAAACCTTGAAACGGAACGCCAAACGTTTGGCTTGGGTTCTGTTATTTTAAATTTCCACTCTTTATCAGCACACTTCAAGATTTTTATTTCGCAAATTTTTTACCTTTAATATGATAGGAGAATCAGCAATGGAAGCCAAGAAAGTGAAACCCTGACAAAGAAATTCTCACGAAATGACGAGGACATGGTGAAGAAGGCGAGAAAAACAAATGAAATCATATTGGCCAACAATAAGCAGAGCTATTGCCCAGAGCAAATCATTGGAAGCTTACAGTACGGCCTGGGTGAAAGTTTGCAGTCCATCCACAGGAAAAAGGTGAGGTGGCTGTTGGAGAAACTCCTCCTCCAACACAATTGGAGGGAGGCAACCGGCGTGCTTAGCGTGCTGCTCAAAGGAACTGTCGACGACAAGTCTCTATCTCATAATCGCACCAAGTATTTGGTATGTTACAACCCAAATTTTCTAGTCAAAATTCAAATGTTGACTAGTCAAAGTCAAAGTCAATTAAGGACTAAAATGAAATTAAATATTTTATTGGGGTTTATTTTATAATTAGTCATATATGAGGGTTAAATTGGCTACAATTTAAAGTGGAGAATTTACTTATATATATTTGGAAGTTTAGAATTTAAAAGTTATATTCTATTAAAGAATAGGGACCTTCCTTAGCAATTTTGAACAAGTGGCATTTATATTCAAACTTTGACCATTCTTTTCCACAAAAATCACACACTAACACACACTAAAGTGTGTTGAACGGGAGGAAATGCAGAGAAGAGAAGAAAGGGAAGAAAAGAAAAAGAAGGGAAGAAAAAGAAAAAAGAAAGAAGAAATCTTGTGCCAACTACTTCAATCTTGTTTATTTAATTCTTCAAGAGGTAAGGTTAATAATTATTGATTTAGTTTTTGTAAATTTTGTTTAGGGTTTTAAATTTATAGCTTATACTTGAAAAATATGATAAGAAATCTAAATATTTGAGTATTTGGAGCTAGTTATTCTAGTAGATTGGAAAAAATGATGTTTAGATATTAGGGTTTTGTCATATATGGCTAAATCCGAAAATTTGGGGAAATATATGAATTTTTGTTATTTTCACTTGTGATTGTTTTATGGTATTATTAAGTTAGATTAGTTGAAAATAACTTATCTTATGCTTGAATTCTCACTTTGGATGAATATGGAAAATATAAGAAAGGAGCTTTTGATAAGATTTATGTATTTAGTTAAAAGAGAATTTAAATAAGGAATGTGGATGATTATTATCATAAAAAACTTATTGAATTTTTACGGGGCAGCCGGGAAAGGTTAGTATTAAAGAGCGAGGGATGTAGAGTGATTCAAAATTAAGTGAACGTATGTTTAAGTAACCAAATAAAAAGATAAATATTAAGTCTCAGCTTATTGAGGGATATATATATATATATATTTTATTTTATTTTGATGATAAGAAAGAGTTATTATTGAGAAATCCCTTGTAATTGTATGTGGATGGAATTAAAGTAGCTTATATTTATGATCGTTTCAGGAGGGGATTTGGACGTGGGAACAGCATACCAGCCCCGTTAGTCCAGCCTATACTTGTGAGTGAAGAATCTATATTTTCAAAAAGAAGATTTTCTTTTCATTTTATAGAAGCATGTTAATTAAATGGAATGCTTTATTTTCGAGAAATAGTAAATGAGTATGATTGTTTTGGAATTATCATAAAATAATTGATGTGATTATCTTACTCTAATGCACTGAGGGGCTACGGCCGTGGGTAAAGTTATCCATTATACACTGAGGGGCTACAGCCGTGTGTAAGGGTAACTCTTATCCACTGAGGGGCTACGGCCGTGGGTAAAGTTATCCATTATACACTGAGGGGCTACAGCCGTGTGTAAGGGTAACTCTTATCCACTGAGGGGCTACGGCCGTGGGTAAAGTTATCCATTATACACTGAGGGGCTACAGCCGTGTGTAAGGGTAACTCTTATCCACTGAGGGGCTACGGCCGTGTACAGAATATTGATCAGACGGTTTATGTACATATGATTTATGGCTTTCAGATTATTAGTAGATGTTTACGTGGGATATATATTTTGATGTGAATTTTAATTATATAGTGGATTATTAGTCTTCAGCTTACATTTTTCTCTCTTACAGTTCAGCTTGTGGAGTTTAGATTATGGTTTTTAATTATTGAATTGTCTAATGTACTTACTCATCTCGTTATATATATATATATATCTTTACACACAAAGGACAGTACAACCATCTTTTAAGCACTTCACTCACTGGGATTATTATCTCATATTTTCCTGAACTTTTCCTTATAGGAGGCTGTTGACTAAGCGGTGGTGGAGATTATTTTGATAGTTTTGTAGCCATTGCTACCACCAATTGTAGGTTCTTTTGTTTGAAATTGTGTAATCATCAAGTAAAATATTTACATCATATTGGAGGAAAATTATTTTGGTATTTATATACACCAATGATCATGATGTAATATTGTAATCTAAACTGCTTCCTATTATCCTTTTGAGAGGCAGTTTTGATGTATATGTTATGGATGTTTTTGGTTAAACGAGCAAATGATAGTATTATGTTGGTATTTTATTGGAGTTTAGAAAGATTTTAATTGGTCAAATGAAGCTTTATTATTAAAGTTTAGCTACTTTTGCCTTGGTGATGGGTCCAGTGCCTAGCTGGCACTTATCATCGGCTCACGTCACGTCTTAAGTCTTAGGACGGGATGTGTCATGGTATATCTTCCTTTTTGCAAGAATTCATTTTTTGAGTATTGGGAGTCATCAAAGTAAATTTTCTTTCTGTTTTCTACCCAAGATTTTAATCTCTTGAACTTGATTTTGGTCCTGTGTTATGATGGATGAGATTAAAGAACATAATTTTGGGCGATTCCAATGCTAAAATTTTTGTCACGAAGGAATTATGTCAAAGTTGAAGTGCTCCAATTCATACTGAGGCTAGAACGGATTGTTCAACTATTTTTATGAGAAAAAAATTTAAATTTCCATTCTCCTCTTTGGATATGTTGAAGTATTTGATGATATAGCACACAAGGATGCATAATCTCTCTGCATACAATATGGCAAGAGCCAGCTGATACTTTTTATTATTTATATGCTTACTGATTGATTTCTGACCTTCCTCTCTTTAGAGTTTTGGAAATCTTTTATCCATATGTAAGTACCCTTTGGCTCATTCATATCATCCTTTATACATAATGTCTTTTGGCTTCTGGTTGTGTTCCTCCAAATTATATGTAGATGTTCAACTCTTTTTGGATATCAGTAGTATATGTTTGCAGAATGCATACTTATCATTATTTGCAGGCTGCTCTGGAGATTCTTAACTATGTAAGAGGTGAAACTGTCAGCCCAAGAAAACTCCAAAATGTTTATGAACTGTGGATGCAAAAGATTGGGCGTCTGAAAAATTGGCCGACAAAGGTACGCTATAGAAAAATATTTCTTGAATGATAAATAAATGTTTTTTCTTCATGAAATAATTGATAATAAATCTCTTCTTCTATTCGTGCAATACTAAGATTTAGATTTCATAAACGTAGTTTTTTGTTGCTCTCTTCTTTGTATGTTTTTCATGATGTAATTATTTTGATGAAAGGAGAAAGGCATTTTTTCTACCAGTGTAGATAGGCGATTCAATCCTAATCTCTGTTCATGTCAATCACAAAAGTATTGTTATTTCTTTTTTGTAAATTCTAATTTGCAAATTCAGTTTAATGCAATACTGAAATTCTGAATGCTGTACATGATAGGTTTGCCGTCCAATTGGAATTCTTTTCTGTCTCACACATGGAATGACTAAGATGCGCATATGGCTGCTCTATGGTATTTTCTTGGTTTTCTACTACATTTTAGTTTAGTTTTTGTAAGATTCTATACATCTGATCTGAAGTAATTTAATGCTTTATTCATTAACTAGTGTCCATTTAGAAGTACTGGAATGAGCTTGTGTTACTCTATAATACACTTAGATGAATTCAAGAAAGCTCTAATGTATACTGGTCTTGGATGAGCACTGCAAAATGTGAAATAAATGGCTGTAACCAGTACTTTTTTAGACATTATAGTCTTTTTCGTGGTTTTGAGATCTCAAAAGATGCAAGTCTATTGAACGAGACAAAACATTGTGAGTGGGCCAAACCACTAATTTACAAGTTTATTGGACTCTTAGGTGAGTTCTTGAGATATCAAAATGAAGTTTCTGTTGCTAGCATGTTTCAAGTAACATCTGTTTAATATGATATTTTTCAATTAAACTTGTGAAATAATGAAGTTTCATTATTGTGGTTGTGATGGTGGAAAGCCAGTCAATAAATATTTTCATCGACTAATGAATTTTAACATTGTTTTTGAGGACCAATAATAAAATATTAAATCAGTCTCATGCAGGAGCGTGGCCTTGAGAGTGACCCGATCTCAAATTTGGTTGTTGGCTTGACATTTTGCCATCTCTGGTATTCTGGACTTCCAAAAGAGCTACAATGGACAGAGTTGGACACATTTGATGAGTCCAAGTAATCGGAAATGCCTGCAGATGGAATTTACAAGGGGTATGATGCTTTCGAAGCTGGAGGAGCCAAATCCTCCTTACAGTGTTATTTGAACACCTCTTTCGCCTATGACAAAGAAGTGTTAGGAGAGGACGGTAACCACCCGAAAGATGCCATGAATATTGATGCTAATAAACTGAAAGAATCTGCTCGCCGTCATTTTCAGCCACTAGATTTCTACTTAAATTCTACTGAGGAAAGTGGACATGAAAAATATTTCTTCTCTAATAGTAGTGGTGATCTGCCTCATGTGTCTATTTTTGACACTCATGGTGAGTTTCAGAGCTTGTGCTCTCTCCCATCTTCCCTTTCAACTTCTCATAGGTGCGAAGGTCCATATATTCTGTGCTTCACTAATTTATTCCTGTCCACAATCATGATTTTTAGGCAATTTACAGGTCCCATATTCAGTTCCTTTATGTTTATTCCTTCCTATACCTCTTAATCTCAAAATGTATATTATTTATTTGTACCTGATAATTCTGAGCTCTAGTTTTTCATTGTTGTTCAACTACAAGAGAGGTACACATTTGTCGCTTACAATAGTTCCTCATTCAGCCTCACCTATATGGAAGACACTGAAGAGATTTGGTCCACACGCCAAGCCACATATTGCGTTGTATCTTGGGACAGGTAAGATTTTCTTCTGACATAATTGTTGGTGTCCATCTTCCCACACAAATAGCCCACATCTGCGAGGGTGCAAGATTTTTTCGAGGAGATTGGGTGGGACTTTGGATAGTTACTATATACTCTTCTACTAGTTGTGGCAAAACAAATTGTGACCATTCCGTTTTGTATTGATGCCTCAGATCGTATTTTTTGGATGACTACATAAGATGGTTGTTGTCAATTTTATTTCCACAAGTTTACGGACCGTAACAAGTAATAGTGGACCTAAGAGTCCAAGTTGTCAATCCCACAAGGACTATATTCTAGCTCGTAATTCAATTTTTATTTAACCACTATTTGATGAAAACAAATAAAAATTTGTAGGATTTGAATTTTAATCTAAATGCTAAAAAAAAAAAAAAAGATGCACACACAATTGGTTTGAAAATCAAATAATGATTGGACGTTAGGGGCAAATTAAATTCACCTATTGATCACCTTTACATCTCAAAGTAAGATTCATATCTAATATAGTATTCGGTTGAACTTTCCTATTGTATTCAATTTATCCCTCTCGAGTTCTCATTGAGCCTATTTAACTAATTAAATTCTATATCTCTATACAAATTCAACTTATTTAAATTAGTTCTTTGTCCTAGGAATTCAATTATGACCGCAATAAATGGCATAGGTATCTCTCGTCGTTATACCAATTTATCGGATTTTACTACATGGTGTAAACCCTAAACTCATATCTTTATTCGTAAAGGATTCCCAAAATCATCAAATTATTGATCAAGTAATTTAATGGATTTACTTTATAGTAAAATCAACACGTGAAACAGTAAAAATCAAGAATCTTAATAAGAAAATATAAAGGATCCCAATTGATTACATTATTCGCCCCCTAACAATGAATTTAACTACTCATAATGAAGGAAGAAAAGCAATCAATTTTCTTAGAATACATAATCGGATTTGTAGTAAAGATGTAGAAGAGAAGGTAGAATTCTTGCACCAAGATTTTCTTCCTCTTCCAATCAAATGTTAAATCTTCAATTGCTTAATGTTTTCCTCATTTGAATTCCTCTTTTGATTTCCCAATTATGTTCTCTTGTTACTCAATGTGTGAATCTCCTCAAAAAAGTGAGAAAATTGTATTTATAAGTGCCCCCATTTATATAGAAACTAGGATTTTTATGGACTTCAAAATGGGTAAAAAACGCACCCTAGACTACCCCAGCACAGCGCCTAAGCACTAAGACTCAGTACCTAAGCGCCGCGAACAAATATGGGTAGCGCCTACGTGCTATGATTGCAGTGCCTCTCGGGTTAAATTCTTTGTTTTTATGTCTCGTAGCGCCTGGGCACTACGAATGCACCGTCTAGTCGCTGACTTTGTGTTCCAATTTCTTTATTTTTGGTCTCTTTATCTATTTTAGTACCTCTTTTTTGCATCGCCTTTCCTAATCTTCAAAACAACACTAACATACACATAAAAAATGTTCTATACTCACAAGATATAGCAAATAATCAAGCTAAAATTGTGTAAAATTTGTGAGTAAAACAAACTCATCAATTGTATATTCACAAGCAAGTCAGCTTCGCAGTTGATTCATTCTAGTAGGCCCGTGAATGACTCACTTCTTCTGCTCTGGAGTCTTATCATACCTATGACAGTCTCATTCTTCTGTTGGAGATTATGGTAGGATTCAATTCCAATGGATACTGTTATTTGAAGGAGAATAGGCAGTCAATTGGCTTCTTGGTGCTAGTGTAGTTTTAAGATTGAGACCATTAGTCATACTTTCACTGGTAGCAGTACTTCAAATTAGGTTTGGCAGCATTTTGGTAATATTTTCCAGATATCTATGATTGCTGTGAGAGCGTTAGATAGTAATTTCTAAGATGGTGATTTTCTGTATAGTTTGCATAGAGCCTCTATCGATCTTCTGGTTCATATGGACAGAGAGGAATGATGCGACACATAAGGATTACACATGAGACCCAGACAAATCATTTGGAGGGTATATCGTATGATCTCCTTCCTTTACACTGGTGGTTTGTTTCAACCACTACATTGGAGTGCTGACACATAGCTTGCTCCATCTTTTGGTATTTCTATGACTTTTCTTTCTGCTCCTCCTCCTGCTACAGTTTGGTGACACACTCCATCAGATGGATTTATCAAGATCAATACTGATAGATGTGTCAAGGATGGCACTGAGAGCAAAAGATATATCATCAGAGATCATGCAAGTAAATATATTAGGGCATTCTCAATGTCATATAGATAGTGTATGATATTAAAGGCGGAGCTTAGAGCTATTCTCGACGGAATACTATTTGCTAGGGATCTTGAGTTTTTAGGCATTTAGGTTGAGTCGGACTCTATTATGGCTATTCTCTATATCACCAAAGGCAGAGGACTATGGGATATTCAAGGCTTACTCAGACGGATTGTAGACATCATTTCATTTGATAGAGACATGATTTCCCACATCTACAGAGAAGGAAACCAAGTTGCAGATGCACTTGCTTACGTGTGTTGGAATCATTATAATTTTTGAGAATAAGAACCAGCAGACCTACCACAACACATTAGGGCACTCGTACAGATTGATAGATATGGATTGTCCAGCTTTAGACTTTGATCTTTGTAACTTTCTTTTTGTTCACATTAGCACTTATTGTAAAGGAAATAGTGCTTCCTTTTTTATTGCTTTCTAGTTATTATTTAAATCTCAGAGGTACCGCCCTTGAGGGACATAAGCTCAACTATGTAGTGAAGTTAGATTTTAAGGCCACAATTAATGTAGATGATAAGGTACTATCGGGGCCGACCTAAGGTTGGCTAAAGTGAAAGTGAAGAGGTCGCTCATTAACAGTGACTCCTAGCTAATAGTCAGTCAGGTTAATGGTAACTTCACGACAAGTGACAAGGGCATGGCTGTATACCTCAAACTGGTGATGGATTTATTTCCATCTTCCGAAAAATTCTAGTTAGCTTAATGATTGTACCTATTCAACACCTCAACGAACCCTCCATTGCTAAGGGAATGGTTATATGGATGTGACCTATAGTAGCTTACCTGAAAGATCATGTCCTCACTGACAACAACGAAGAAGCCTACAAACTTGGGAGAAGTCAACCCACTTTGTATTCTAGGATGATGACCTTTACAAAAGAGGTTTTTCCATGCCCCTCATTCGATACGTAGGATGGGAGAAAACCATCTACATTCTTTGTGAAATTCATGAAGGAGTTTGTGGCAACCATGCCATAGGACTCGCATTCATATGAAAAATACTATACAGTTGTACTATTGGCCTACATTGAAAAAAGATGCGATTCAATTTCTATGAACGTGCTACAAATGTTAACATTTCTCTCCCATCCAAAGACAACCTTCCCATGAATTAATAGTAGTATCCAACCCTTGGCCATTTGCTAAATGGAGAATCGGGCTCATAGGCTACTAAAGGTAGAGATTGTGCAAGTTTTGCTATCGTCGCCATTGATTACTTCACAAAATAGGTTAAACTTGAACCTTTAGCCAAAATTAATGAAGCTAACATTTCCAAGTTTTTTGAAAGAATATTATATGTCAGTTTGGGATTTTCCATTCAATCATCCTCGATAATGGACAACAGTTCGATAACAAAAAGGTCCAAGACTTATGTGAGGAATTGGGAATCAAGAAGCATTTCTCGACACCGCATCACCCCCAAGCTAATGAACAATAGTAGCTGTAAATAAAACCATCAAGTATACTTTAAAAAGAAAACTTGACGCCTCCAAGGGAGCATGGGTCGATGAATTATCACGAGTATTGTGGATGATTCAGACTACAAATTGAACCCCAACTAGAGAAACCATTTGCTAGTGGCTTATGGAGCTGAAGCAATGAGCCCAATGGAGGTCGAATTACCCTCTTCCCATCAATTGCAATTCAATGAAATATCCAATGATGAGTTGAGATGAGAGAGCTTGATTTCCTTGATGAAAAAGGGATAAATCTGAAGTGAAACTAGCCTCATATCAAAAGAAGACGACCTATTATTATAACGTGAGAGTTAAAAAAAGGTCTTTCTAGATAAATGACCTAAGGTTTTGGCACTTATTGGATAGAAGGCCGAGATCAGGAAATGTAACCTCGCTTGTGGAACATTGAGCATCTTAGAATATATTACCAGCGAAAGTGCTTCATAGCTAGAAGATCTTTCCCAGCCATTGTATATATTTTGAAAGCAAATCAATAAAAGCACATTTTGTTTGAAAGATTTGAAGTGTAAGTCCCTAGATAGATGAACCATCTGCTATCTATGGAAGCATAGGCCCCTTAATGAATAGGATCAGATCCCAAAACGGATTACCTCATTGGTTCTCCGATGCCTACAACACATTTCTCCCTTGGTGAAGCTGAATATCACGGGAGAACTCCCTACATAGATGAACCATCAGCCATGTATGGAATCATGGGTGCTCAGAGAAGATGATTAGATCCCAAAAAGGATTAGCTCATTAGATTTTTGAGGCGTGCAATACATGCCTTCCTTGATGAAGCTGAGCATCACAGGAAAAGTCCTTACGTAGATGGACCATCCATTATGTATGGAAGCGTGGGTGCCATGAAGAAAAGGATCAGATCCCTAAAGGGATTAACTCATCGGTTCTCTGAGACGTACAACACATGCCTTCCTTGATGAAGTTGAACGTCATGGAAGAAGTCTCTACATGGATAGATCATTCGCCACGTATGGAAGCATGGTACCTCGGAGAAGAAAATCAAATCCCAAAAGGGATTACCTCATTGTTCACGAAGGTGTAAAACACATGCCTCCCTTAACGAAGCTGAACGTCATTGGAAGAACACCACAGTGGATGAGCCATCCGCTATGTATGGAAGCATGGGCACCTCGAAAAAGAGTATCAGATCCTAAAAAGGATTATATCATTCCTCCATTGATAAAGCTAAATGTCTTGTGAGAAACCCTACAGAGATGAACAACTCGCTATGTATGTAAGTATGGGTAACTCGAAGAAAACGATCAGATTTGAAAAGGGATTACTTCATTGGTCCTCTATGGCGTGCAACACATGCCTTCCTTGATGAAACAGAACGTCATGGGAGAAGCCCCTATCTTTGTAAACCATCCACTATATATAGATGTGTGGACGCCTCGAAGAAGAGGATCAAATCTTAAAAGGGATTACTTCATTGG